GACGAGGACGACGACGAGGACGAGGAGGACGACGACGACGACGACGACGACGACGACGACGACGACGACGACTGAATCATCGAGTTTGGAAGTCTTTGACTCCTTGGCATCTTTGTGCTGTTCGCGCTGGTCCGGCGCAATGTCCTGGTGGCTCTCACCTTGCACGGCACGGACCATCACCTCATCCTGGCAACAGCGGCAGAAACAGCAGCACTAGTAACAGTGGCACTAGCACATTTCTTCTCTTAATGAAATTTCATTAGCAGGCGCCACCCGCCTAGCAAATATGTTCATCAGAAACGCTGTAACTAAACACCTGTGTGGGAGTCCCTTCCGTGGAATGCTCACGGCTTTGGAATGTTTGCGTCATTGGAGGGTGGGTAGGGGGAGGCGGTGGGAAGGGCTGGGGCATACTTACAGCCATTCAAGGTGCGCACGTGCAACAATCGTCATGGTTTCTGCATGTGTGGCAGGTTTGTGTGCATGAGGGCACCGTACACTGCAATCGCTGCTCTGCTTTGGCTTCTAAATGCCCAGCCGCGGCATTTCAGGGAACTGAGCTCTTGGGGATGTCGAGCGGGGATTGGTGGTGGCGGTGGCGGTGGCGGCGGCAGTGCTGGTGTGCTGGTGTGCTGGTCATGGTCATGGTCTTGGTTGTGATAGTGGTCGTGGTGGTGCTGGTCGCACTGGTTGGAGTGGTCAGCAGCAGTAGAAGCACGAGCAGTAGTAGTAGTAGTAGTAGCAGTAGTAGTAGTAGTAGTAGTAGTAGCAGCAGCAGCAGCAACAGTAGTGATAGCAGGAGAAGGATGCAAGAAGCAGCAGCAGCAGCAGCAGGTGCCACAGCAGCAGCTGCAGTGCAGGTCAGGTAAGACTGCTATCAGCATCTCCCTGGTGATGAGATACGAAATTTGGTTGTAGCAGATTTACTGCAGTATATAGCAACATTGTAACTAATTAGGGTGGAATTTGATAGGCAATCGCAATGATTTGGCTGCTTGGCAAGTCGTGTCCTGGCAGCGGCGGCAGGTGCACACAAAGCCCCAGTTCCGCCACAGTGTGGCGATACGCTCAGGCAGCGGAGTTGATGGCGAGACGTAGGCAAGGTTGAGCTCATCACCTTCGCATCTGCTGTTGCTAGCTTTGGGGCTTGTAGAGTCGAACTTAAATTCATGATACCCATACTACAGCAAGAATGCTTGGATTGATTCTAAGAAGCTTCAGAACTATTCTGACATGGACTACAAGTCGTAGCAGCAGTAGCAGTAGCAGTAGCAGTAGCGGTGGTGGTAGTAGTAGTAGTAGTAGTAGGAGGAGGAGGAGGAGCAGCAGCAGCAGCAGAAGAAGTAGAAGTAGAAGTAGTATACCCTTTGTGGCCCGTCACCTGCGCAGATCTTGCGCAGAGCGACCATGTCAGCGAAGCAGCCATCAGCATACCGCATGGTGAAGTTCGGCTGACAGGAATGGTTCGACAGCGCGACACAAGGATACAGGGCGCTCCCCTCAAACCTCGCAAGAAGCGCGCGGTGGAGACGAAGAAAGGATCTGTGGGTGTGGGCACATGAGGGTTTAGGGTTTAGGGCTTGCGACAGCAAGATATTGGCGCAGAATCAACGTATCGGAGCTGGCAAGGTCAGAATTCATCGTGGCAGTCGAGTGCAAGAGCCGCCGGGATTTCGATTCCAACGCTGGATACCACTTCTCCCAATAATCCCGATGATCTCTGGTCTTGATTGCGCTTTAAACCTCACCAACAAAAGTTCAATTTTTAGCTGCCTTACTATGAGACAGAGGAAGCCCAAAGTCGCAAAGTGCTGAAGTAGCAAAGGCCACCCAGTGATGTATTCCCATCGAATCGGTAACCCTCCAACCCCCCTCCAACCTAGGCAGCGCGAAGGCTTCCTCGACGTCCTTGCGGCTCGGGGCAGTCTCCTCTCAAGACATTCAAGGGTCACATCCTCCTCCTCCCTTCTATAAGAATAAGCATAACCAAGTGACCTACCATAAACCAACTTTTTGCGGTATCCGTATCCCTACGCACATTCTACATGATTTTTGGAAGTTGGATCCTACAGTTGACTTAAGCCAATATACTGATTTGATGTAGGGCTGACATTGGATTGCATCAAAAGGGCCGTTAGGGACGCTAAGAAAATGGAGATCCCTAGAAAAGATATTTAGGAACATCTTTTGAGAAACTCCCAGATTGGGCCCAAGGGAGTTTATATGGGTACTCGGGTGGGGATGTATATATGGGCATATATATATATAGGCATTATATGGAGACACCATATATGTGTATATGTATCCTCCCCGCTCGACCTTAACCAAGAACTTCAGAGTTGCGATATGGGGGGGAGGTGTACCTCTGGCGTACCTCTCAGGAGATTATCCCGAAGGCTAAACCCTGAACCCTAAACCCTACAACCCGAAACTCTAAACCCTGCAGACCATGATTCGGGGTAAGTGTTACCTGGGTTTAGGGATCTAGGATTTAGGGTTAGGGGTTTAAGGGTCAGGGGTTTAAGGTTTAGATGTTTAGGGCTTAGCCCTAGGCCCTAGTGAGGGTGTAAGGGGCCCTCGGATCCTCAGGGTTCTCCACATCTGGCTCATCATTGGCAGCACGGACTTTCCTTTGCGGAAGGGAAAAAGCTGATGTAGGAATCTTGCGCCATCCCACGTGCCTTCAGCTTAAATTTGCGAAATTACAAGACTTGAAGTGGTGCAAGATTTCATCCTTCAGCAGGTTGGAACATTCATCTCAAGGATCATGAAAAAACTTTGGAGCAACTAAGTACCTCTTGGGCGGACGGCGTAGGATTTATTGACGGAGGGTTCAAGGCATGGAGCACTCTACAGCCCATCTACCATTTTAGGAGAAGGTTCAGAATGCCCGCCTTGCGGATTCAAGTAAAGGAGTGCTTATTTATAGGACTGTCATATTGAAGGTTGTCAAAATCATGGTCTTTCATTGGATTCTTTGTAATACGGCCCCTAATCTCGAGGGAATTCAGGGCACTCAAAAAAAGACCATCAAGACTACCCTCCATATAAACTCAGGGATCATGGGGGTTGATTTCTTATTTTCCACAGAAGGCTACAAGTGGTTGCGCATCTCGGGCTAAAAGGGTTTGCAAGGCTTTGGAGGCTTGTTGTCAACCTTGAGGACCGAGGTTGAGGGGTCTAGGGCAGGGGCCCATGAGCCAAGCACGCAACCCCAAAGCCGGCCCTAAAAAACACTGTCTGTCACCTAATGTTTCTAAGGGGTCCGTATACCAAACTGTGATCGATGTTGAGGCAACTCCGAAAGCAATGCTGCCGCTGCCAGCGCAAATCAACCGCATGTTCTTGCTCGACGAACTCTGCAACACTGCATGAAAAGTGTTGCTCCACGCAGAGAAGAGGGCAACAACTTCCACGAACAAATGTCTGCCCCCAAGCCCAACCGTCATTCCGGAAACACGGATCTTAATCCTTGCCTTGAGCCCTTAACCCCAATCCCCAAAGACCCCGCTCTCCATAGTTCACGTCAGAGCCTGTACGGTCTTTGCTGTACAGTCTTTGCGCAACATTCCTTGTGGCTAACATTCCGCCGACAAGAATGTCTCAGTATTCCTCAACAATTGGGGGCACTCTTCCAGCTGTTGATACTAAGAATCCCGTATGACCTTCGCAGAATAGAAAGGCTAGAATTCCATCAAGCCTGCCACCGTCTAACCTTTAACAAAGACCCAGCTTCTGTACTGCTTCCTGGCAGGCTCGTATTAGCCCGCCGTAAGACTTCCGAAACTCCTCGTCTCTACATCGCTCCTGTCACGAAGAGAGCGCGAAGGATATGGTGAAGCTCTTCTCTTTTGGGGTTTCCAATGAGCAGTTAGTTCTAAGAGATCAGCGCCCGGTCTGTAAGAAGGAGCCACAAACTACTAACTCTGGTTCCAGAATTGGGGGCCAGTGAGGATTCTACGCGAGATATGTGGGGATTGCATCGGGGGCCGCGGGAGTCCTTCCTGAAGAGTCCTCAGTATTTATTCCTAAAAACTTAGGAACTCCGCCACAAGCAATGCAATGACTAGGACCCTAGAGTCCTGGAACTGCTCATTCAGGGGATGCTCGATCTGCACCCAGACGTTTGACAACGAGAACTGGCCGATGAGGTTCGAGTAGTAATCCAATGATAGCAGCTCTGACCACCTGAGTCAAGCCACCAGCTCTAGAGAGAAGACCGGATGAGATTCAGCTTGGTTAAGACTCATATATTGGGGTTATATCATATACTGAGGTTACATTGGGGTTATCTCCAGCCTTACTGCCCCTACGCTCCCCCTTTTAGTTCCTTTTAGTTTGCGGTTGGCTCAGGTGATTTGCCGTAAGCAGGGGTTTGCAGTTCAGGGCTTGAACTTGCGCATCAAAGCTTGAGGGCTTATGCTATGGGATTCAGACGTTTCCGGCGCTCAATTTGCAAGCATACGAAACTGGAGCGATTCACCACTGGCTCGCAAGCTCTTGACCATCAGTGATACTCAGCATGAATGCTTAGCACTACCATAGACGGAGCCAGCATCCCGAAACCTGCCACGGCTGGTGAGGAACCCTCAAACTCAATCAATGCTCACTCTCGCCACCCCAAGCTCCAGGGCGGAGTGGCTCCTCTGAAGATCTCTGAATCACTGAAGGGCCTACATGTGACATGTCTAGTGTGGAGGAATACACAATTACAACTGGCTTCGGGGTACGAGCATGGTACCATAAGTATGTTATGACCACTAGGCCAAGCACAACACCGACAAGTCTTCAGGCTTCTACGCTACATGAACAGCGCACATCACCCTCTTCAGCAACGCCTGCTTCCTAGATGGTATATATAGTCTGAGCCAGTACCATCTCTGCCGCGACGCGCGGAGCCCGCATCCTACCTCCATCTACCTTCTAAGCCCCGGACTTGTCGTGCCAATACGCAACCCTCTGCACTGTTTGCAAACACTTTGCGGAACATCCTCTTCCGAGGTGAAAATCTCGAGAATCTTTACCGTCTCAGTGCTAGCAAGACTGCGGGGCCGGCACGCTAGGCCCTAGATCCTTAACCTGAAAGTCCCAAGCCTTCGCCGACAATCTAAAATGCTCCCCATCATGGATCCTTTGAAGGGATCTCGTAGCAACCTTAAAAGGAAGTTACATAATGGGTATAATTTCTAGTAATTAGTAGGGTTTTCCCCAATACAGTAACCCTAAACCCTAAACTTTACATGAGCCATTGTCTAAACTCCTAGTATCCCCCTTAATAACCCCTATAGTAGCTCCCTATATAATCCCCTATACAACCCCCCTTTAAGGAGTTAAGACTATAGCTCACATGTGAGCCGAAGTGCTGTTCCTCCCAGAGGATGGCCACCAAGAGCTCTAAGGAGGCTAGGACTACCTGCTGCCTCGCTCCGTTGCTTTCTTTAGGGTTTAGGGTTTAGGGTTCAGGATTTAGGGTTTAGGGATGCTAGTAGGGAATATGGGAATAGAATCCCTGTATACTCTTTTTAATATATCCCTTTATTCCCTACTCTAACCCCAATGTATGGCCTATGAAACGGTAGTAGTTTCCATTTTATTTCCAGCATCCCTATTTAAACCCCAATATATACCCTATTATACTATAGCAGCTTCCATGTTCTTTTCCACCATCCCTATATTTCCCTACATAACCCATTATATTACAGTAGTCCCTTTGGGCGGCCCGAATCGGCCACCAAACAGGCCCGAATCGGCCACCAAACAGGCCCGAATCGGCCACCAAACAGGCCCGAATCGGC